GCTCACCCCTGAGCCACCTTTGTATGTCTTGACTCATCCCTCGCTCCCTCCTCACTGTCTTTGATGGTCTCTTTCCAATGAGGAGGGAGAGACTCGGGAGAGCCGATGCTCTTGTGCACACTGCTAGATTGAGATCCAGTCCTTAGATGTGGTGGCTGCATTAGTTTTCTTTTTGGGATTTTTCCCTTATGGTTTTACCTAGTGATGTGGCCAATAAAACACTGCCTAACGGTGCCTACACTATGAATGAAGAAGCAATGGAGATGCCTTTGGACAGCAGCATTGTTCATCTGGAGGGAGGGAGATTTAGATACACAAACAAACTAAATCCAAACACAGCTCACAATTTTTACAGCAATAGTTTTTTTTTCTTTTGGGTTAAAGATTTTATATAAACAACAAAACGCTGACCATTGTAAGCACCCCTGTCAGTGGTAAATGGATTGTCTCAACTCTGCTAACTGCTAGATCTGCAAGATAGCCTTTTCTGTTGAAACGCAACAGACTTTATGGCCAGATCACCAGGTGACAATATAAGAAACAACGCCTAAAATAAGAAGCATTCACCATAGTATTTTTGTCATTTATAAATATTATACAGGATTTATATAATGCCAATAGTTTGCGCAGCACTTTACAATATAAGGGAGACAGTACAATTACAATACATTTCAGTATAGAAGGAATCAGAGGGCCCTGCTTGTCGAGCTTACAATCTAAAGAAAAAGGGAGGTGATACAAAAGGTGATAGCTGTGCGGGGGATGATCTGATGGAGGTGACTCAAGTACAGTTTTTTGGTAGAGGTGGGGTAGGCGTCCCTGCATAAGTGAGTTTTCAAAGATCGCCTAAAGGCAGACAGGGTGGGGACTGACCAGACATACTAGGGTAGGGAGTTCCAGAGGATGGGAGAGGCTCTGGAGAAGTCCTGGGGGCAAGTGTGGGAGGTGATTAGGGAGCTAGAGAGCAAGATGTCTTGGGAGGAGCGGAGTGGGCCAGTTGGACAATATTTGCATGCAGATGAGGTTGCGATTTAGCTGTAAAAAAATAAGTCAGCAACTACAAAAACTGTAGCTTTTAAAAAACATCCACTCACATGTCCCTCGATCCCATGGTGTCCTCCTCGCAGCCCATTTCACTAGCCGTCTGGTGTTCCAGGTGCTGGCATCTTCAGTGTGGGCACCCGGATGTGACAGCTTGCGGCTTCACAGCTGGGTGCCCACTGCACATGCGTGAGAAGCACTGCGCTTCCTGAATGGCCCCGTAGTCTTTTGGGACCTGTCACGTGTCCTAGAAGACTACTGGGAGAGAGAGTAGGAGGACAACTTCCGCTTCCGATCGCCTAGGCGATCACAGCAGAAGTGGGAGCAGGTACCTGTCAATTTCGGTTACTCGCTCCCCCCCACTCCCCAAAGGTGCCAATACTTAATGGGGAGCAGGGGACCAGTCTTTAAAGCGGAACTTCTCCTTTTGGGTGGAGCTCTGCTTTAACTTCCTGTATGAGTATAAAAATGTTGCAGAACAAAAATAATAGTAAAATGTCACTGTTGTTATTTCAGGGCAGCTTTAACAGCCAGATTTTAGTACCTTGGTCCTGCCCAATGATTGGTTCCTTTAAGCCAAAAATTAGAAAACAGTAGATGAATCCAGCAACTTCTAACAGGTTTTTCACTTAATTATACTTTTTCAGTCTATTTTTACAATTAAAGGTTCTCTGTTTTTTCTTTAGTTTTTCATTTTAGTTATACTGGATAGGAACAAAAGATAAGCTGTGAATTTACAAATTACCACCAGGTGGCACTTTAATCCAAGTATGCAGCTCTACTAAAATAGATTTTTAAAAATCTGTATTTGGCAAAACAGAAACAATAGGCAAATACACAAGCAAACCTATGTTAGGATCTAGCATAACAATTATATAATGAATAGAAATGCCAAATGGGCAACACCAGGTGCAGAAGGAGCAAGGAAATATGGCAATGCATACATAACTTCTTTTACACTGATATTACTGTGTTATACATAAATGAACACAAAAACTACTTTTACAATTTAACAACAAAGCTAAGACACTTACTAGTTGTTGTAGTCATCCACCAATCAATGTGGATTTAGTAACACTTTAACTGCTGGGCTTGTATGCAAATTCTGGATGAAAACAAGGAGCAATGGGGTCATCACTACTATGATAATATACTCACTTTCCACATTTCTTGGCTTTGTGATCAGCTAAAAAGAGAGTATTTCACCTGTTTGCAAATTGCTTTCAGAAGAAGATATGTTTTTCTTTGATATATCTTATTATCTTGAGCTTAATGGTAAATGAAAGTGCTCTTTTCTTTGATGACTTACATTATGAAATTCTTTGATAACCTAAATGTAGACATTCTGACACCTTTTTTATGCCTTCTATACCAATGTTAATTTCAACTTTGCCATCTCCACTTTGAGACTCATGACAAATATCCTAAAGTATTTTTCTCATCAAAAGGAAGATAGCTACAAAATACGTTGTAACTTATCTCTCTAACAAATATGCTCTACTTTCATGGATTATTATGCAACATTATACAAGGTTATATGAGAAGGCTCTGAACACCTACAGTGGGGATCGAAAGTTTGGGCACCCCAGCTACAAATTTGTATTAATGTGCATAAAGAAGCCAAGGAAAGATGGAAAAATCTCCAAAGGCATCAAATTACAGATTAGACATTCTTATAATATGTCAACAAAAGTTAGATTTTATTTCCATCATTTACACTTTCAAAATAACAGAAAACAAAAAAATGGTGTCTGCAAAAGTTTGGGCACCCTGCAGAATTTATAGCATGCACTGCCCCCTTTGCAAAGCTGAGACCTGCCAGTGTCATGGATTGTTCTCAATCATCGTCTGGGAAGACCAGGTGATGTCAATCTCAAAGGTTTTAAATGCCCAGACTCATCTGACCTTGCCCCAACAATCAGCACCATGGGTTCTTCTAAGCAGTTGTCTAGAAAACTGAAACTGAAAATAGTTGATGCTCACAAAGCTGGAGAAGGCTATAAGAAGATAGCAAAGCGTTTTCAGATGTCAATATCCTCTGTTTGGAATGTAATTAAGAAATGGCAGTTATCAGGAACAGTGGAAGTTAAAGCAAGATCTGGAAGACCAAGAAAAATATCAGACAGAACAGCTTGCTGGATTGTGAGAAAAACAATTCAAAACCCACGTTTGACTGCACGATCCCTCCAGAAAGATCTGGCAGACACTGGAGTTGTGGTACACTATTCCACTATAAAGAGATACTTGTACAAATATGGTCTTCATGGAAGAGTCATCAGAAGAAAACCTCTTCTACGTCCTCACCACAAAAATCATCGTTTGAACTTTGCAAATGAACATATAGACAAGCCTGATGCATTTTGGAAACAAGTTCTGTGGACCGATGAGGTAAAAATTGAACTTTTTGGCCGGATTTAGCAAAGGTACGTTTGGAGAAGAAGGGGCACAGAATTTAATGAGAAGAACCTCTGTCCAACTGTTAAGCATGGGGTTGGATCAATCAATCATGCTTTGGGGTTGTGTTGCAGCCAGTGGCACAGGGAACATCTCACGAGTAGAAGGAAAAATGGATTCAATAAAATTTCAGCAAATTTTGGATGGTAACTTGATGCCATCTGTGAAAAAGCTGAAGTTAAAGAGAGGATGGCTTCTACAAATGGATAATGATCCTAAACACACCTCGAAATCCACGGGGGATTACATCAAGAGGCGTAAACTGAAGGTTTTGCCATGGCCTTCACAATCTCCTGACCTCAACATAATTGAAAATCTATGGATAGACCTTAAAAGAGCAGTACGTGACAGACAGCCCAGAAATCTCAAAGAACTGGAAGACTTTTGTAAGGAAGAATGGGCAAAGATACCTCAAACAAGAATTGAAAGACTCTTGGCTGGCTACAAAAAGCGTTTACAAGCTGTGATACTTGCCAAAGGGGGCAGTACAAGATATTAACTCTGCAGGGTGCCCAAACGTTTGCAGACGCCATTTTTTTGTTTTCTGTTATTTTGAAAGTGTAAATGATGGAAATAAAATCTAACTTTTGTTGACATATTATAAGAATGTCTAATCTGTAATTTGATGCCTTTTGGAGATTTTTCCATCTTTCCTTGACTTCTTTATGCACATTAATACAAATTTTTAGCTGGGGTGCCCAAACTTTCGATCCCCACTGTATCTCTTTTATTACATGCTTTCTTTATTGTGATTGTAAAGGGATTAAAAAAAAAAATGAAACATATTATACTTAGCTGCTCTGTGCAATGGTTTTGTATAGAGCAGCTTTGGTCCTCCTCTTCTTGGGCCCCCTGCCAGTGCTTCTGACTCCTCCCCTTTCTGAATTATCCCATAGCAAGTCAGTTGCTATGGGGGCACTGAGTGGGCTCGATCCTGAGATACGCTCAATTCATTGACACAGATTGGCTCTCTCCTCACAGACTGTGCTTGACAGCAGCAGGAGCCAATTGCCCCTGCTGCTTCCTTAGTGGCCAGTGAGGAGGGAGAGAGAGGGGAGAATGATTACTCTCCGCACAGGGCTGGGTCAAGATTGGGCTCAGGTAAGTATAAGGAAAAAAGGAAATTAGTTTTAAATCAATATGTTGATTCTGTTATTTATCAGTTTATCATTTTGAGGTCAGGAAGGATTTGTTCTCTTTTAAGCCAAACTGGAACATGGTGTAATGTTGAAAGGGGGGGGGGGGTTACTTTTCATCCCTCTGGAGATTTTAGATGTTTGTATGGAATATTTATGTTTTCTTAATAGGATTAATATGATTTACATAAGATTTTATTTAACCAAACTGTCTTTGTAACTATTAAAGTATAAAATGTAAAAGGTAAGGGTTTACAGTGACCAATTCTGACCTGTGAGAATTGAGCTTGTAATGGTCTGATGGGCAAGTGCATTGTTGCAAACCTTTGCATGATGTATCGAAAAGTGAACTCTGTTTCATGTATACAGATGTATGGTAAACAAGCTCTTGGGAAGACCCAACGAAATGGATAAAGGACACTTTCCCTTGGAATTCTGCTTCATCTCAACGTGAATGCCCAGCCTTACTGCAGTTGCGACCAGAAGATGTAGGTTATGATGGATATGCCACTGCCAAAGAAGTATCAACATCCAAAAATGCACCAGAAAACGACAAAGATGGTGACCCCTTGGTATGTTGCCTAGTAAATGCAGATTTTTTTTTCTATATATTTAACATGTTTTGTTATATTATAACTACAACAGTGCTTTCAAAGGAAAAGACAAAGGGGTTGATTTACTAAAACTGGAGATTGCTAAATCTGGAGTAGCTGTGCACAGTAGCCAATCAGATTTTCAAACTTCAGCTTGTCCAATTAATCTTTGACAAAAAAAAGCTGGAAGCTGATTGGTTTATATGCAGATTTTGCACTTTGCAGTTTTAGTAAATCAACCCTAAAGTGTGAATAAACTAAGAGTAATCTGTCAGCAATTTACCATCCTATGACTGATCACAACAAGATTACGTCTCATGTTATTCAAATGGTCCATCAACACATTAAACTTGAATATTATGCAAAACCACAACACCATCAGAATGATCTTGTGAATGTCCAGTGTTGTCTACATACAGTAGCTCAAGGTAAAAAAAAAAATTGACACTTTCAAAACACTGTTGTCACATGTAGCACTATACTCTTTGGAGTTGCAAAGAGATTTCTGGTCCCACTATAGCCCTGCACAGCCAGGAAATACGCATCTTCACACAGGCTTGCATACAGAAGTTAGAGATCAGTCCTTGAACTTTTTGTTATTTTATTGGGGTATTTGAACTGGGATAGAGTTAGGGGTGTACAGGATGCCCAACTGAACCAGTGAACTGAGGAAAGCCTCTTGGTACACCTGCCTCACATTTTCCTCTCTCTTCCACCTAAACTCTCCAAACTCCCCTTGCTGAGTAGGTTCAAACACTTTTAAGGTTTTCCTGGCCCCTTGCCAAGGCTCCTGGTGATTGGCCAGGATTCCTCAAGAGTACAAGCCAGCCATTTCTCAGATCCACCCACTGCTTCTAGACCTTTCTCCAAAGCTGTAGAGCAGGGGGAAATTCCAGAAGGGCTGGCCTGCAGAGCCTCGACCACAACTTGACCTCCTGACTATTGCACCCAGGCTGCTACTCAGCACTCCTTTCTAGCAATCAGGACTGTAACTCCCCCTAGTTTACTTGCCAGTACAATACAGACTGGTCCCTGGTGACTAAAATTTCTCACTCATTCCATTTCTTGCTAATTAATGAGATATACAGATCTCAGTGCTGCTATGTATTTTGGCAGAAAAAGTAACATCGTATAGCTAAGGATTCCCATACTGTGTATTTTTTCTGTGGTATTCTTGGATTAGACTTCTATTGTATACAACTGAAGAAATAATTACTGGTTCTATCATTAGGTTCACATTGCAATTTCATACAACAAATTATTTGCCTAAGTCTGCATGTTTCCAGTATACATTTTACAGTATATCAGTGGTCCTCTATGAACTAGAAGTCATAATTAGACATGTGCAATTTGTTTCATTTTGATCCATTTTTCAGACGAAAATTTCATTTTGAAAGAACACAGAAGTTAATAGCAACAAAACCGAAAAAAAAGTTATACCGAAATTAATGAATGCATTAGTTTAATTTGGATGATGTCAGATGATGTGATAGTAGTTCAGACCCATGGGGAAATTAATTCAATTTTCAAATTATTTTGATAATTTGGATTTGGATAACAAATGGATCAGAGTTTCATTTTGTTCATTAATTCGGATGCACATGACGCCAGTCGATATTGTCCAATCAGCTCATGCTACTTCTCTTGGTGGGTTGGACTTGAGCCTGAAAATATTGAATCCTTTGAATTTAAATCCGTCTGATTTGATAATATTTCAAATATATAGCAGTTTTACAGGAAAAACTGCAAAATGTTTTGTATCCACCTGGAGCAACGACTATATGAAACGAATGCAGAAGATACAAAGCAAATTACAAAGATGACTAGGTTCAGCATAACGAATATGACAAAATGAAATTCTTCAATGAACGAATGCATCCGAAATGAAACAAATATTTCCGGCGTGCACATGGCTAGTTGTATTGTTGTTATAGTCAGTGTTTGAACTCAAACTATACATAAATAATAACTGTTCCAGAGAACCACACATGCAAATCAGTCACAGTTGTGTGACAGTTTTTTCATTTGTGGGATGTGATAAACAGTATCAGACTTTAGGTAATTAGAGTGAATATTAAGATAAATCTAGGGGGATGGAAATTTGTGACCATTTCACAGTTCTTTGATGATGAGCTATAGACCTGTGCTACACTGCCTATAAGGAGTTAAGGTTGTGATTCACAAATGAATAGACAGTATAACATTTAGAAACAACATTTGGATTTTTAAAGCGTGGATATGCATGATATGTTACATTTTTCATCTTGAGCTTGGCTTTCTGCTGTTTTGAATAGTGCAGTCAATTGTATAACATGTGATATCCTGTTTCTAATTGTTGTATTTTCTCACCATATGTTCTAATGTGTTTAGGACATAACAGTGTGATATCTTTTTTTATGGTGCTTTTTACATTTCTGCTTCAATTTAAGTGTAGTGTTTTCCTCAATAAGCTGGGCATGTTCTCAAAGAAAGCTATTTCATCAAGCCTGTTCCACCAAGGAAAATGTGGATTCCTTTATCTAATTAAAATTATAGTTTTATTCCAGATGTCTGGCTCTGATTGTATTATCATTGTTCATGTGAAAGGTTTTATCTCTTTCAATAGAAAAATACACATGCAGCTTCTTTGAAGGGATAATGCATTATCAACAGTCACATGGGTGTCCTAGATTTGAATCTGGAACAGCCAGCATGTTATCATCACTTACTTTGATTTTTCTTTGCATTATCCATGTGCCGTGTTCTGGAATCTTAAAAAAATACATATTTTGGCAGTTTCTACAGAATAATGCTTATGACACTTCTCAAGCTGTCAAATCGTATTGTTAGTTGTACAAGTTAAATACTTACTATATAGTTAAAATTTTCTAATTATATTTACAACTGTCTTCTTATACTTGCAACATTTATGAGTTTTGTTTTTCCTAAGTGATTTCATTTTTAAAATGTAGCCTTCTTAGTTGAGCTGGGCTTCAGAAAATTTCTAGGATACTCTTTTTATTTAAAGCATATATAAACCCCCAGAGAACACAAATGTAATATATTGCAACTTATTCTAGGGTGACAACTCACTCTACTGTATCTATGCTACTGTATCTGCGGATCTGCGTTGTCACCCTGGGCACCTCTTTGGTTTTTACTGCAAACACCTCCCACTCTCCTCATCTCCATTACAAAGAGAGGTGATGATCTCTAGCTCAAAGATTTCAGTTTAGAACACCGGAAATTGCAAGGGAACTGAATGAATGGCAAGATCAGTTGGTATTTTTCTGTACTTACAGAAAATGTTCTTGCTTGAAAGTGCAGCTACCATGTCTAAGGACTAGAGGGCTGAAATATTTTACATTTTTGTTCTGTGGTTCAGATATGCTTTAAGAACAGTTCAGATACTTTATTAATGGGGGGAATTTATCAGACCTGGAGCAGAGCAGAATCTACAGCGACTATACATGGCAACCAATCAGTTGCTAACTTCATCTTGTTCAGTTAAAGTTGAACTTTAACTTTAAAGTGGAACCTTCAGAAAATGATGTCCTGCTAGATCATTCAGGCTGGACCTTTTTGCATGTATAGCTATGCAAAACATTAAAAATAAGTGCCTATACTGTTTAAAATCCAGTAATATACTATCTCACCCTGCTCTGCACATGCTACAGTGTTGATAAGTTCACCTCACTATGATACAATTTCACTCTTTATATACAGTATATACATTGTTACTGGCAATCATTTACTAGTATGAGTGGATATGTTTGGAAGGCTACCCAGAAGTGTCAGAGCTTTGCCTGTCAAACAGCCTAGTTCATTCAGTACAAGAAAATGTAAAGGATAAGAGCACCTTTCATAACATGTTACACCCCATATCATGTTACTAACTTAGCAGCCCCAACACCCCCCTGAGTCCCCATTGTGACAGCGGGCTGGGAATCTTCTCTCTGCACCCGCTGGCACAATTTAAAATAAACATAGCCATGCAGGGCTTCACCCACCCAGCCATGTTGTTCACTCGCAGAATTCTGTGAATGAGAGAACTACAACTACCATCATCCATTGCAGCTTTCGGCTTATAGTTTTCAATGAACTACAAGGATGCTGATGAGCGCTCTAGTACTTCATTGATTCTTCCGGTCATTCAGTAACTGCCTACCTGTGTGAGGTATGGGCAGACAACTATACAGACATTCTGCAGGAACCTTGCATTGCACCTGCAATCTGCTGATTAAGAGTGCAATACTTTACAGGCTCCTAATAAAATAAATAAAAAATGCACCTTTGTTTACTGGCAAAAAGATGTGTATTTATTATTTTTTTATTAAAAGGCAAATTTATCCTTTAAGAGGCTGATGCAGGTTTGTGTAGGTACATCTATGTTGTCTATTCATCATGCCTGCAACTGTTTGCTCTCTTTTTTCCCCAGTGATAGAAGCTTTAACAGCTTTTTAACAACTGTATTGTCTTCTTTATGTTCTTTATGTCCATCAAGATCAACAACACTACCATCAGCCCCACCCCTCATGCCAGGGTACTAGATGTAATCCTAGACTCCAATCTGTCCTTTCAGCCCCAGGTCCAATCACTGACAAACTCATGTAGACTTCACCTCCACAACATCTCCAAGATAAGCCCATTCCTAACCTCTGAAACTACTAAGCAACTTATTCACTCCCTTATTATGTCACGCCTTGACTACTGTAACTCCCTCCTCACTGGCCTACCTCACCGCAGGCTATCCCCAGTCCATCATGAATGCTGCTGCCAGACTCATTCACCTTACTAACCGCTCTATATCTGCCACCCCTCTCTGCCAATCCCTCCACTGGC